TATTGAAATGGTAATAGATTTGAGTGTTTCGTGTGTATGTTTGCTGCGCAGCCGCCGCCGCCCATTGTGCGAGATTTGCAAGAATAACAACAATCTGAACAATAAGAGCAACAATGTTGTTGTTGTTGTTGCTGTTGCTGGTGTTGCTGCTGCTGTAAGTGTTAAAGTTCGTGTGAATGTTTAGGCTGGCTGCCTGTTGCTGTTTCTGGGAGCAGGCAGCTCAGCGGGCAGTCGGCGTTGCTGAACATCATTATCATGCCATACTAGACAACAACAACAACAACAACGAAAACAACAACAAAAGCAACAGCAACAACACCAGCAAAAAATGTTTGCCATTGTTTTGCTTTTGTTATTACAATGAAAGCTCTTTGTATAACAATTGCAATCAAATAGGCAACAAGTGTTTTACCTTTTGCCTGAGACAGACAGACACACATACACACACAATTACAACAACAACAACAACAACACTAGGCAGCAACAACAACAACGACGCCAACAACTTGTCCATTTTTGGCCACAAAATGCCCCATTAAAATGTTACATTGTAATTCCCAATGCCCTCGCTGTGGGTCTTCAGTTAAACTTGGTTTGTATGAAACGCATTCAACTCAGGCATTTACGAGTCCCAATTGCTGCACTGCACTCTACGCTCTGAGCCAAACTCGCTGTGCTGTTAGCCTTCATGTAAATTGGTAAACACGTTTTATTATGGCCAGTAAAAATATTGTAAGTTGTTGCATCGAACTTTTATGTCACTTAGCCTAAGAAATAAAAGCTAACTTATATTTCTGACAAATTTATTTTTATAGATCTCGGCACGAAAATATGGAATCGAACCATCCTTAATAACAGAATGTATTTATTTATATTTAAGTATATTTATATATTTATTATTTATTTATATTATTCATAAGATGAATTATAGAGATTTCGTTATATTTATATAGATATATAAATATATTTATTTAGTTATAAAATATATTATTATTAACAAAATTTAATAATCTGAGCTTTTCAGCCAGTTAGGGTATTTGCAACTTCGTCGGCTTGCTGTTAACTTTTCTTGCGTCTTGTCCATTTCTATTGCTGATTCTTTGCATACCGTGTTAACAATGTCTCGAGGAGCTGCAAGATTGGGTCATTGTTGTTGCTGTTGTTGTTTGGTTCTAACTCGTTTAAGTTGCCTTTTGCAGTCTTTACGGTTTATGGCTTCTGTCAGGGCTTTTGTTCTCTTGAGCTTCTACTACTTATTTGCCTTTGCTTGTTACAATTCCATTTCGGTTAAGCTTCAGTTTATGCACTTTTTCTTTCAGCACCTCCGGCTATGAGCAGCAACAAAGCGCCAAAAATCAATGAGGAAGTAATTAAATTTAATTAAATTACATTTGATCAGATTTGATTTGATTAGATTATTAGCTTTCAACTGCATTTGGGCTTGGGGCAATTTTCAGCCCAGTTGCCGGTTTAATATTTAAAAAGTTTTTTCAGTTTTTCTTTAATTTTTTTTTTTGTTGTTTATAAATCAAGTGTAAGTGACATTGAAATTTATTGTGTTTATTGTTTGTGCGCGCAAAGTTGTTGTTGTTATTTTGCTTGTTGTTGTTGTTTTTGTTTTTGTTGTGTCAGTAGTTGTTATTGTCTTTGCCGCTGTCTTGTCTTGCTCTGTTGCGTGAGAGTTTCGCATGTTGTGCGGCAGTTTAAAAAACTTGAAAGAGTAATACAAATATACATATATATACATATAAAAGATACACACAAATAGGTATATTTAAATATATATATATATATATATATATATATATATATATATATATATATATGTGTGTGTGTGTAACCTATTCTATGTTCTCTTATATAAATTGCAGCTCAACCAGCTGACACGTCTGCCTTTCAAAGTATTTCGCTAGAGTTCAGCCCAGAGAAGCATATTATTAACCAATAACTTATTCAAAGTTTTCGTGTGTTATGCACGCTTCTATCGTTGCTTGACGCTTGTAATTCTCAACAAGTTAAAGTTTCGCGAAAATAGGCAAAACGTTTGCAATCGATAGCAAACTACTCTGAGGACAGAAGCGAAAGGTTCTACATAGCTTAAGCTATATATACGCATAACATATTCTGCTGCTTATATAAAATGATTGAAATTATATTTAAATTATTTAATACTTTTACAAATAAAATAAAAGCAATATTCACCACAAGCCGACCAGCTTAATAAAGGTGTTTGGCTAAAAAATTTCAATTGTTATCTAAACTATCATATCTATATGCTGTCGGGCTTAAACCACTTGGGAATTATTAGCTACGCTCAAAATCTACACAGTCAATCTACAGTCTTTATATTTAGTATATGCACACGCATAAATAGCAACAGTAGCTGCTGCATATATCACATCGATGGGCCCATGAGCACAATAGTTACTTAAGAATCCATATTAATCTTAAGAATCGACCCAAGAAAGAGAGAAGAAGCAGCCGCTGTCTGTCTATCTATTAGGGCGCATTGTGTACAGTTTGTTATATTATTATTGTATTAATACTAATCTCAAGAATTGGTTAAAAATAGCATATTACATGCTAGCTTAAGCTTAGCTCCAGGCAATAATCTATTCAAAGCTCGGTCAATTCTATCGGATCTTTCCTCCCCGCCGTGGCTCAGCGCCCGCACATTTGCCAAACTCTTGTGTACGCCGATTTTTGCGTGTTAAAACGAAATTAATTTGCATTTTTGCTACTTCCGGACTTTGGGGATATTGAAACTGGCTGGCTAAGATAATCATATGCGATGTGTCGCTAGTTTATGGATACTGCAAAATTGAAAAGAGACAGAGAAAGAGAGAGGGCGAGAGAGAGAGGGAGAGAGAAATAGACAGAGAAAGAAATTCACAAAAAAGCTGAGCCAATTAGAACAAACATCTTTTTGATTGATGTTGCCTAGCGTGGAACATGATTTTCAATTTAGCCAAGACTCTTAGAGTCTTCTGAGTGGAAGTCAGGGGGCTGCTAAGTAAGGGGGGAGGAGGGGGGCTGGCTCTGATGTACAGCGAGTCACGCACAAACGGCACTTTTCATGGGCCAACAAGGGAGGGGAGGCACACAGCACAGAGACATTCACAAAAGCCGAACAAAATCGGACGATGCGTGGCATTAACTCGTCTTAATGGTTTGTTGTGCTGTGGGGTAGTTGGAGCAGCTTAGAAGTTAATGAACACACGATGCTTTTTGTTAGTTTCGGCAGCCAGAAAAACAAAAAAAAACAATTTTTTTCTATTTGTTCGCGCGGCCTTGGCCTTGAGGTCGGTTATTGGCTGTACAGAAACTAAAATAAAGCTTTATAAAGTTGTTGTTTTTTTTTTTTGTTGTCGAAAAAATAAACCAAAGATATAGTACGCCAGGCATTTAGCTTAACAACAGCAACATGCTGAAAGGAAAGGGGCAACAATTTGTATCTGAACTAACTAATTTATATGTTTTGAGTAATTAAATCAAGTCAGCGCATCTTTGGCAGCATAAAAAAAAACTCTGTCTTAACTCATTTCTATTTCAATCGTATATCGATTTAAGGCGGATGTAGCTGCCCAGCCCAGTGTATGCGAAAGAGAGACAGAGAGAGAGAGAGACACGATGTCCGGCCAGGAAATTCACACGTGAATTGTTTAATTAATGCGTTGACGAAAAAAATTAAATTGATATACAGTAGCTGCGAGTCAAGTTGGGGCACAGAATAAATGCGCTTAACGGATGTTCATTGTAAAAATATTAACAATTTATGTTTGCCAGCTGCTACCCTATAAACAAGCCAAAAATGAGCATAACCCATGAACCATGCACAAATTTGAAGAACTTATCAAAATGTCAGCTGCTGCAATTCTTATGAGCACATCTATTTATGAATGCAAGCCAGTTCTTAGCATCTCTTAATCTATATACAGCCCGTTGAACTCGGGATCCTTAGGAGCTAGAGCCTGCAAATTTGATATGTAGACACATGTAAACTATTAAAACATAAGTCATTAGAATGCATCTAAATTCATATAACATTTGTAGTTCTTTTTCACATGTAGAACCAATTTCTGATCCACGCTCAGAACAAGTCTCACTATTCGCATAGGTTATTCGCTAGTCGAGCTGTTTCTGTCTGAACAAAGTCAGGTGTTTACTCGTATTTTTTTTTTCGCATTTTTTGTTGTTCCAGCGAAATCATGTGCTGAAATTGGCCTTTAACTGTAATGTTCTATTTAATCAGCTTTGAGTGGACTGTCTCGCTTGTGTCTTCATTTATTGTTGGCAATGCGATGCGTCATGTTTATTAGTCTGACAACAGTTTAATCGATGCGAATTGCCGGCAATTTGTTGGCCCAATAGCCAATCAGAACGGTATCAAAAGACTTTAGCCTTACGAATTCTGATGCGACTTACATAACGGTCTCATTTGGAGATGCGCAATTAAAACAAGGCAAAATTTCCCCACAATGTATCTTTGAGGTAGCATTAAAGTCTTTTAGGGGGCAATGTACAATAGATAAACACACACATATATATAGACAATATCTTGTGAGCATTTACAGCTTAAAAGATGATGTAACCTTTATGGATTTATGTATGAAAGAGTTGCATCAACATTGTAGTTTGATATATGTTCGTTTAGTGTCTACAAACAATGTTTGATTTGTATCTTAGCATGGTTTAACTTAATCAAGCTGCTTGCACTGATCAGGACGGAGCAGTTATAACTATTTGGGAATTATAAACTTGATTGAAAGCATTTGTTTAGTTCAAATGTGCACAACTATCATAGCAGCTGTCGAAATTCGGATCTAGAATATATATATATATACATTGCCGGCTCAGAGATGCCGTTTAATGACAAAATTACAATACCTTCTACAAGGTTATAAAAAGGCAACAATACAAGGAAATCTACTCTCAAAAAAAAACCGTCATGAAATCGAAACGTATCAACACATATAAAAACATACAAAATATCTACTTACTTTATAATTATCAATTAAGGCGCGACTTTGCAGCTTCCCAAATCAGCAGCAAACTGAATCTGAAATATAAAAATATATATAAATTATACAATAAAAAATATTAATAACAATAAATAAGCCAGCAGCTAATTATAGAGCAAAAAGTAATCAGGGAGCGGAAAGGAAAATGATTGAAATGAATAGCAAATGGCAAAAATTAAATTTAAGAAAAAATATCTAATTATAATTAGACTTAAGAAGAATCAAGAGAGAGCGAGCGAGGGAGAGCGAGCAATAGAGAGAGAGAGAGAGAGAGAGAGAGAGAGAGAGAGAGAGAGAGAGAGAGAAAGAGAGAGAGAGAGAAAGAGAGAGAGAGAGAGAGAGAGAGAGAGAGAGAGAGACGCAAATAAGGAAATCAACGGCAACTGCGACAAGTCTGACAAAATCGCATAAAAGCCGCCACGACTCGTTTCATAATTTTTGCAATCATCATAAAGCGAATCATTTGAATGCAATTTATGAAATTGAATTGCAATTGATAATTAAACGACATTCATTAAAAAATATTATTAAAAAAATAACGAGCAGGAATGCGCTGGATGTTACCATCAGGCCATAAGATACCCTGTATGCAAAAAGTCTTCAAAATCTTTTAATTATTATTGGCTGGAATTTCAATTTATTTAATTTAGAATTGGCTAGAGTTGTAAAAGATTTGAAAAAGGTTTATCTACGAGAATTTGCACATCTCTAGCGCTCATGAGATGCCACAGAACGCTTCCTCTTGACGTAAAATATGTATTAAGAAAGCGGCCCTTATGAAACTCTCATCAAATATTATCTAAAGAGACGAAAATAGACGCTTACCAGAAAACCCAAAACATATTCTTTGACATTAAATAATATGATTTACGATTGTATGATAATAGAGATATATGTTCATGTTCTCTGCCCAGCTAAGTTTTAGTTCAAGACGCAAACTAATTTGCGACCACGTTAATCCATTAGTCATTTTAACTTTCAACTTGTTGCCAGCTGAAGTGTGTGTTATTGTGCCTGTGCCTCACAAATCGCGCTTATTTATCTTTTATAAATTTCGCCGATTTATGCCGAGAAAAAAGCGTTTCCATTTCACAAGATGCGCTGCAACAACAACAAGAACCACAATCAACACTGATGCGACTCATTCACTTAGTCAGCCTGCCCAGCGCCCAGATAACAGGCTTGAGTCTCCGTCGGAGTCAAAGTTATATGGTAGTTTAAGTTGGGCCCAACCAGTCAGTCAGTCAGTCAATGAACTGCAAATTTGCAGGCCAATTGAATACGTAGCTCGGCTGCGCTGACTACGATAGTGCGCTATAACAGAGCCACATAAGCTGGGAAATGTATTAAAGCAAGTAAGAGAGAAGTGCTGGCAGCGCAAGCAGTCAAACGTTTAAGAATGACGCGCAAAAGAGAATGGAAATTTAACGTAAGCTATGAACAAACGCGGAAGAGAGCAAGAGAAGAAGTACAGGCAATAAGTGAAATAGATATGAAAGTAGTCTCAAGCGTAGCTTTTCACAACGTTTAAGGACACTAGCCTAAAGCAAAATATAACATTTAAATGCTGGCTAAGCCTTTGAGCAGATATTAACGTTTAAGAAGAGCGTAAAAAGAAAACCTTATGGAAGCACATAGATCATAATAGTCAAGCCATAAGAGTAAAGACAGAAGTAAAACCTAATATAACGCTGCCACAGTGAAACATGAAATTTTCTACAGGAGACAAAAAGTCGTCGCAGACGCAACAAAAGTCAACGAAGCAAGCAACAGGCAGCAGCAAAAGCGCCAAAAACAATTTGTGAATGAATGCAGACATAAAATAACAATAATTTGCGCAAAAGAGCCAACAACAATAACAACAAGAACAACAAATTATTTGGGCAAAGAAAATTACTCGTATATATTCCATGTAGCTGCCAAATCTAATAACAGTTGTTATACATTCTTAATTTACTGATTGTTACCCTGCAAGCTGACCAAAAATAGATAATGCCAAAGACAGCCAGAAAAAATAAATACATTGAAAAAAAGTTATGGCTAAAAATAACCAAACGCTAAAGGAAATTTACTTGGGTTTGAGGAATACGAAATACGCTTGCTGTTACAAATAATTAAAAGACTTTAAAATGTATTTAAGCAAGTTTAATTTAGTTAGTTAGCTTAAGGACAAAGCTAGCTAAACTAGAGAAATGTCTGGCGGGGACTGTATAAAATATTTTCCGCCACAAAATATATTCATTATATAATGAATAAATGGGTTATGAATAATGAATAATTAAATAGTAACATAATTAATAATAAATAATAAATAATAAAAACAAACCAGAAAAGTGTGATAATTTCTTATTTAGCTTGGTTAAAGCTAAATTATTATTATTGAAATCGATCAAAATTTCCTACTCCCATAACTCGGTCAAATCTCATCCGATTTTCATAAGGTTTGCGTCTATGTACATAGTTTGACCTCTAGATCAATTACGCATCTAAGTCTGGAAACATCATTTTTGGTCAAAATTCATGTTGAAATGGTATCCGCAAATATCCTATATAATCATAGATCAAAACTTCCCCCTGCCATAACTCGGTCAAATCTCATCCGATTTTAATGAGGTTTGTCTCCATTTTCATGGTTTGGCCTCCAGATCAATTTGGCTTATAAAACAGGCAACATTATTCTGATCATATATATGATATTATTATTGAATTTTGCAGGCCCCAATTAAACTTATGACTTAAGACTACTATGATAAGACCTCAGCAATACGATGCATGGAGCTGAAAGAAGCACCTGTACCAAGTTTCAACAAAACAGCCTCACTTAGAGTTCAGTTCACATGGAAGATATAGACATAGACGCGCTAACTAAATCTGACGTGACGTCACATTTAATGCATAATTTTAAGCAGCCGCTTGAAGTGTATTAAAATTCACATAACTATGCGCAATATCAATTGGATGAACAGATCATTTCACACATACTCGGGCTATAAATAGCATTAGAGAGATCTTGATTTTGCTAAAAATGATGTGAAACAGTTACAAAACTAAACAACCTCCCGCCCGCTGTTAATGTGGGTGGGCCGAGCTGAAGCAACCTGCTGCTGAATGGGGAGATGGAGGTACAGGGGAGGGGACTGTTAATTGCCAACTTACCAAATGAGTTTGGCATTGGCTAGAAAGAAGAAAAAAAAATGGCCAAGAGCGTCAATTAGAGCGCGAACGCGAGCGCCGATCATTAGGAAAAAGCATTTTTTGATGGGGCCAACAGACGATTGGACAATTGTCAGTGATAGATAGCCAGCCGGACGATGGATGGCTGGACAGTTGGACAATTGGACAGCTGGACAGCTGGATAGCTGGATAGCTGGTATTGGCATTCGAGCTAATTCCATTTGTGGATATATCAAAGCGGGAGCGGCCGCTTTAAGTGACTAATTTATGGCCTTTTATGAGTATGAGTATGTCCAATGCAATGGTAACAATCGAAACAATCGAAATAATCGGACCAATCGAAACAACGGACCTGACTCTCTGGGGTAGGCGTGGGGCTGGGGCATTGGCTCTTTGTCTAATTGCCGCCGCCGATTTGTCCCATTTGTTGGGACACACACGCACACACACATAAACATAGACAGAGACAGCAATGAACTTTTATCAGCATGCACTTACGTAGTGCATTGTAAGCTCAGGCACAGTGATCGTAGCACATTAAATTCCATACCAAAAACCTAATAGAGTTATTTTTATACCCTTGCAGAGGGTATAAACGGGTATGAGATTCTACTATTCCACAGATATTTCCTATAACAGTTATATTATATAGTGAACCGCTGCTGATAAGATAAGGCATAGTAAAAGTTACCAATACCAAGCTTTGGTAAGATATCTTGAGAAACAAACAAGTTTCTCATACAAGAACCTCATTTTCGACTGATATTTCCTATTACGTCCAAACAGAAAGAGGCACAGGACGATTACTTTAAGACTAGTTCAGGAATATATGGGTATTTATACCCTTTGTAAGGGTTTTAGAAAACCGTTTACAATTTCCAACATAATTGCTTATAAACAAACACCAGAAAGAACCTTGAATAACATTTGTGCCACCGTGCAAGGCACCTGCTGACAAGCCAGGGAAACAAACGACCCTGGGGGCCCTACCACAAATATGCAGCAGTCTTCGACTATGTGTGTACCTATCTAGAAGTTAAGATCGTGCAGTGGTCCGCTTCGCTCATTAAGCATGCTTCATTTCTCTGGACATTTATAGGCACGTCAACAAGTAGATTTTAATGTGAGCTCGAAAAAAAAAGAGCTGAAAAGCTGTAGAGCCGTGGAACTAAAGAACTGGAACCAAGAGCTACAGCTCGTATCTCGGCTCGTTTATCAAAAAACATGCTACAGAGCGAAAGATTGAGAGAGCGAGAGGAAAGTCCGAAATACGCACACACTAATTGGCCTAACAAGTTGGTCAGATACTCGTAGAATTTAGAAATAGATGAGTGGGGGGACTAATGGGTGGAAGGGGGGGGGGTGCGTTGGGGGAAGCCTGAGTTAAGGTTAAATGCAGCTGCGTGTGCAAATCAACAGCTACTTTTTTGATTATTAAAACAAGAACAAAAGAAATATATAAAAACTTTAATTTAATTTACTTTTTATATATTTTTTTCTCCTAACCTTTTATTTTTGGTTAATTTTTAATGCCAACTGATTTGCATTGCCCGCTTGGAAATGGACCAAAGAAAAATCCATTAGCTGAGCTGTTCAATTTTCCAAATGCACAAAACCCAAATTCGTTGGGTTCTAGCGCCAGGCGTGTTTTGGGCTTTTATCTTGGGCACTTTTGGGCAGTTTTATGTGCGCGATCGATAAACGAAACGATTAGTAATCGAAAATACAAGGCTACGCATCGGAAACTGGGTCAGCAGGGTAATCAAACGGGCTGGCCTATCGCGTGGACAACATCGCTTGTTCAATTCTTATCGTCAAATTGTTAAAACAAGTTAATGACAAGCATTTCGTTGCGGCAAAAGCCACACG